TGGAATGTCCTCTTATTAACCATGATATGACGTCAGAAAAGTAAGTGGAAAAGTTAACAAATTTCAAGTGGTTTAGCTTGGAATGTCCTCTTATTTACCATGATATGACGTCAACGGTTAATCATTATTGTTATTGTTATCATTATTGTTATCTGTTATGAACAGTTTTCATTAGGCATAGCTGAGTGGGTACATAAATAATTTTGATCAACTGTCGAAGTCAACGTGTTTTCTATACATGTAGTGTTGTTACCATGTATTTTCATCTTCATTGGCTGTACAATAATCAACAGACAATATGGTTGGTTTAATTTTCAATTTTCCCCATAAAAAATGATCACTACAAACTACCAACATCAAAACTAGAATCCAACTTACCAGAGCCTGTAGCTGTTGATCATCAAAATTCTCCTTTGGAAACAACTTGGCTGTGATGTGTTTGTTATGATTATCAGAGAAGTTGTGGTTCTTCTTACAACTAAATCCTTCATCACACCTTCCTTTTGCTATGAACTCCTGACATATGTGGAAAAAGGGACAAGATTTGTTGTTACACCCTTTTCCACAGTATTTGAAACACATTTTTGCACCTAATGCAAATGCCTGAATTTCAACCAGCTGTTTCTTGGGGTTGTAAATCCTCGAAAAGCTTCTGGGATGTTGTTTAAACCATTTTTCATGGTCTTGGAAGTCAGGACTGAAAAGATCATCTCTAGTTGATATCTCTGAAAATGATACAGACCCACCAAATTCCTTCACAATGCAGTTGAAAACAGCTCTTTCCGAAGCAACTGAGGCATTTGATGGCTCATTTGATTGAAAGCTGTCATCTGGGTTAGAAATTGAATCAAGATCTTTATCTTGAGGACTGTCATAGAGTTGGTCCTGGGAAAATAAATCCCACAAGGCTTGAGATTCAGAAGTTTGGCTTAACCCTGGATCAGCTTCAAAGTTCAAATCTACAAGATTTGCACTTTCACTACCATCATCTAAGTTAATCAAGTCTTGCTGGTCATCATCATCTTCTAACTGAAATTCCATCAAGTTTTCTGTTAATTCTTCCACAGCCTCTCCATCTTCTTCCTCTTCAAGATTTGTTGCGTTGTCGGCATCAGCAGAATTAGATCTAGGTTTTCTTTTCCTGTTTCTGGGCCTCCCGCTCCTTCTTGATTTCACCAAGGGTTCAGAAACATTATCACTTTCCTTCACTGAGTCGGCAGATGAATATTCCATCTCAGGAGCAGCTCCACTTTCATATAGCGCTGTCCCTCTGCCACATCCTCTCCAACTACCCCTTCCTCTACCCCCTCTAGCTCCTCTGGCTCCACGTTTACTGCCCTCTTGGCCAATCAAAGACTGATCTGATGGTGGTTGACCATAAAAATGATCCATACTCTTCCATTTTCGCCCTCCTCGCGAAAGTTGATTATTTCCTCCCCTTCTCTGCCCTAGGCCCCCTCTAATGCTATGATCTGTGGGCTCAATTTCTTGACGGAAAAGCATGTTTTGGACTGCTTCTCGAAAGTCTGGACGGGCATAATGTTGGGTAGGCAATCCCATGAGAGGTACTGGTATATTTTCTCCTCTCCTCATGCTTGCAGGCATATTAGAGCGATTTCCAGCACCCCAAAACCTCTGCTGAAGTTTCTCCTTTAAGTCTGGAGTTGGGAGAAGACCAGGTCTTATGTTCAATTCTTCATTCTTCATTTTTGCTTCATCTGGGCGACCATCTTTCTTTTGTCTTTGTTTGTTTTTTGGAGCCTTTGTGCTTACATTTTCGGGCATATTTGGCAAAATATTCTGTGGCATTGCACCCAGTTTCGAAAACTCTCCCCTCTCTTCATCGTTGGTGTCTAAATTATTCAATTTGTTGACTTTTCCCTTTCGTTTTCCTTCCTCCACCTTCACTTCGGGATCAATTCTCGTAGTTGAAGCTACAAGGATATTACACAACAGATATTTCACCGGGACAAAAAAGTCTTTGAAAACACGTTTGTTGTGAGGAGAATGAAGATCGTGAGAAAGATTCAAAACGCAATCTTCTTCTTTGTCCTCACAGATCTCCTTCACCAAACGTGGACAAAGATGGAGATTTGGACAATAGGGATTTGTACATTCTTGCTTCACATAATCTTCACAGACGAAAGGAARATTCCTCGTAATTAATTTACGAACAGCAGAATTATTTAGATGTTCAAGGCGATATTTTTGGATTTTGTTTAAGTTTCCTTTGTCCATCAAGTCGTGAGACCTTGAACAGACATTAGGGTCAGCACAACGTCCCTCCAAAAATCCTTTACAGATGTGGAACTGTAGGCAATTGGGTTCATGTTTACAGGCGCCATTTCTATCATAATTCAGGCAAAGTCTAGCCTTAATACAAGCCCTAACAGTTGCTCTACCCTCGGTGTTCCTCTTAACGACGAAACAAGGCTTTTCTATCACGTCTTCTTTGTCGTTTAGTTCGGCGTAGTCGTCCAGCCATTGTAGTACTTCTTCTCCAGACAAGCTTTTCAAAGGCGAGGGATGTCTCGTCAGCTCTAGAAAATCTAACTCCCCTCCTTTGCCGAGAATGAAGTTGTAGACTTTAAAAGCTTTCTTTGCTAGGTCATTTTGGATTGGAGCAGGAGCCGGGTTTTTAATCATGATGCTGTTTTTCACCCGTACTTCGTTTAACCAGTTCAACGACCAAACAAGACAAACAACATGGCTTTTCTCGGAATAAGAAAAGAATGTCGATATGCAATATGATCTTACTCAAAATGTCAACACAGGGTGACCATCACTAACCGGAAATACTAAAAAATCGAAACAGCCGATTACAAAAAAGTGGGGAAGTTTTTACTATTTAAAAGAAAGAATTGGATAAAAGAAGAATTGGGAATGAAAGGATACGAGGAATACTAATACAGCATCCGATTTTCGTTGCACCAGTTTTTGCAAGTCAGCTTGGAGGATTGGAGTTTGAAATAAAATAATCAAATAATAAAAACATATCAAATATTTTCATAATTATTTTTTTGAATTTTAATTAATAATTTATTTTAAAAAAATACTAGCCTAGTATATTTTGGATTCAATCTCTCATTGGACTCTGGATTTTCGGATCAGTCATGCTCACCTTATCGTAGCTATGGAAGTAAATAATGTTATTGGCAGCATTTCATGTCCATTTTCGTATGTTTTGTTTTTGTTTTGTTTCGTTTACTGATAATGATGATGATTATGGTGTTGTTGTTGTTGTTGTCGTTGTCGTTGCTGTAGTTGTTTGGACATGGCCTCATACATGGCCTAAAAGAAATGTGTAGCTTGTACGGCGTGAATTCCCTCGTGTGCCGTTGAACTATTTCCAGTTTTATGGGATCATTTCTGTTGAAGGGACAACGAAACTTTTCCTTTAATTCCAAGTTTGAAACTGTGCCTCATTATTATATACATATTATATAACATACGTGATTAATCAGGGTATTCGTAACAGAATGTTTGGACATTTGTTCCCGGTTCTTCAGTTTTTTCCAGTTTGCGCCTTTTCTACCCCCCTGTGTCTTACATGGTTATTTACCACACAATACATCCAAACGTTTGGTTGATAATTAAGTGACATATCGCGTTGTGGCACTTCGATTCAATTTCCAGTTCTCGATATTTCTAGTAAAGTCGATATATGCGAGACGATGTTACCATACCAGTTGAAAAGACAAAGCTTACTTTCACAAATCAATTGTCCTTCTAGATGGTATTAGTATAGGTAAAAACCATTGTTCCAGAAAAATTAATGAAAGACTCCTCGCGCATTTGATGAAAGTGGCATAACACCACTGGTTCTTATCGAACACAATTGCCAATGTAATGCTCGAGTACAACTCTCTAGCTCAAAGCATGATGGGAAAACGAGTACTTACGGTTTTTCAGCTCCTCTAAAAATTACTCTGACAATTTTTCCTTCGATATTTCCTATGATATAGTAAGAATTTCCCCAGACGAAAATAATAAAGCAATTTTTTTCTGATAATTCTATTGATTTCTTAGTTCTAATTTGTGTAGCACTCGGTTTCCCATCATGCTTTGTGCTA